CCGGCCGGTCCGACTGTCAGAGCGCCGGGCTCGGCGGGGCCGAGACAGATAAAACCATCGACCCGTCGCCGCCAGCGCTTCGGCTTTATCGATCCGACGGGAATTTCACTTGCTGTGCAGATCCCGCTGTCCGGCTGTCAGACATGGGGGGGGGGGCGTGCCAGAGGTTAGGGGGTGCTGGGCTGGGCCTGGACGTGAGGGGCACAGAAGTGGGGGAGGCAGCACAGAGACGTGAGGGGTGGCTCGGATGTGGGAGTTCGGGTGGAAATGGACGTGGAGTAAGGGTGTGAAAGTAGGGGATGCTTTGAGGGGATGCGGGGGAGGAGGGACAGGTGCAGGGTCATGGCGGGGGTAGAGTAAGAAAGGCTGTGGGAGAAGTCACGTCCTGGGCAGTGCAGGGGTGGGGCCATGGGACAAGGCTGTAGTGTGGACCCCCATTCTCCAGGCCCTCCTAGGGGTGCACTGCTTTTACAAGGCTCTGCAGGTCCCTCCATCTCTGCCTCTAATCTCTGTTCCTGTTGAGGGGAAGTCTCCCATTGGGAGCCCATTACCCAGAAACCCTCCTGCACAGGCAAGGGGTGGAACTCAACTGCAAATGGATGTCTGCCCCGTCCAGGCTGGTCCCAGGTGTGTGTGTGTGTGTGTGTGTGTGTGTGTGTGTGTGTGTGGTGAAGAGCATGGACACCCGTTAGATTGCTTGCTTGAGTGTAAATCTTATCTTTACCATTTTATTAGCTGTGCAACCTTAGAGAAGTCACTTAACCCCTCTGTACCTCAGTTTCCTCATCTGTAAAGTGGAGTTAATGATTATTACTTACCCCAGAGAGTTGTTGTGAAGATTAAATAAATTAATGCAATGCATTACCACTATATGCTGTGGCACATGGTGAGTGTTCAACAGGATAATAATTGTTCTTATTAGTATAGTCTTTTGTGGTAGTTTTAAGTATTCCTACAAATTCTTTGATACCCTTCCCTTCAAGAGGTAGAGCTTATAGTTTTATCCTCCTCTCTTGAGTGTGGGCTGGGCTTGGTGACTTGCGTCTAATGAATAGAGTAGACTACATTGGAAGAGATAGAGACCAGATCATAAAAGGCATTGTGGCTTCCTTCTTAGTCTCCCTCCTGGATCGCTTCCTCTGTGGGAAGTCAGCTGCCACGTCACAGGGAAACTCGAGCGGCCCTGTGGAGAGCCCCGCTGTGGAGGACCCCAGGCCTCCTGCCAACAGCCCGTGAGCGAGCCATCTTGGGAAGGGCCCCTGCAGTCCCCTCAAACCTCCAGAGGACCGCAGCCTCAGGAGAGACTCTGAGCCAGAAGCCGCAACTCCCTGCCGCTCCCTAGCTTAAGCCGTTCCTGAACTGGCCCATAGGAACTGAGATAATAAATGTTGTTTCAAACTGTTCAATTTGGGGATAACAGCAATAGATAAATGATTAATCTTCCTTCAGAATTCAGCTGGGGCCTGACCTCCCTTGGGAGGGAGGCCTTCTCTGCTCCGTGCCTGGGTTGGTGCCTCCCCGAGGCTCCCACAGCTCCAGTCCTTCCCACGGAGCAGTCTCCCTCCCTCAGGGTTTCCATTGCCTGGTTCTACTGACTCCCATACACTGAGCTCCAGCATTTCCGATTCGCCCTGGCGTCCCCCGCACCCTGCGCAGGGGTGAGGTGAGAGGGCAGCAGGAAGGAGGATGCTCTGGTTTGATGACTGGAACTGAACTGGTGGGGCAGGCTGTTCTCTGTGGCAGACTGTATTGTCCAAAGATGGTTGCAGCCATATCTCCCATCGCCCATGCTTTTCCATGAGCTTGCCTTGCTCCCATCACACGGCGGTGAATGTCCCTGCCCTTTGAATCTGGGTGGGCTAATACTCCTTGGCCAATAGAGTACAGCAGAGGTGACATTAAGTGATTTCTGAGGCTAGGTTATGGGAGCTGACCCAGCTTCCATATCATTGGGGAGAGCATTTGTTTTAGAGCTCTAAGCACCATATGAGAAGGTCAGCAACCGCAAAGCTGCCCTGCTACGAGAAAGCCCGGCCACATGGAGAAGCCGTGTGTAGGAGCTTCGGTCACAGTCCCCCAGCTGGAGTCCCAGGTGACAGCCAACATCAACCACCACACATGGGAGTGACAGAGCCTCCAGGGGATCCCAGCTCCCAGCTATTGAATCTTCCCACACCTTAGACATCATCCCCTCTGTGCTGTGTCAATTCCTGACTCCACAGATTCATGAACATAATGAAATGCTTGCTTTAAACCACTGAGATTTGGGGTAATTTGTTATACCCCTCCTCTGCTCTGTTTGATAACCTGGCTCCTCCACAAGGCTGTCCAGGAGGCTCCGCCCAGTTCTTGAGGCAGGGACAGGGGAGGCGGAGTAAAGCAGTGGGGGACACGCCTGAACACACTCTCAAGATTGTCACCTTCCAGACCTGGACATTCCTAGAGGAGGTAGTGCTTACTCCCCTGGAGGGCAGCACCAGCCTGCACTTCTGGTGGGGCTACAAGGCCTGCTGCTGTTGCCCTGCCCCGAGGCTCAGCATGGCAGTGCAGGGACTGTGGCAGTGGCTAATCCCTTTCTAGCTCCTCTTGTGCCCTTTAGAGCAGTGGTTCTCAACCTTCTGGCCCTTTAAATACAGCTCCTCATGTGGTGACCCAAACCAAAGGGGTCGCAACCCACAGGTTGAGAACCGCTGCTTTAGAAGCCTGAAGAGGGGTCACTCTCCTCCCATCTCCAAAAATAGAGCCAGCAGAGAGAGGTAGCACTATCCATCCAGCTGGAGGACTGAAAGCAGAGTGGAGGACGGCAGCAGGGCCTTGCCTTCTGACTAGAGGCTGGGGTGCGGGCCAGGCGGCTCCTCCCATCTCCAAAAATAGAGCCAGCAGAGAGAGGTAGCACTATCCATCCAGCTGGAGGACTGAAAGCAGAGTGGAGGACGGCAGCAGGGCCTTGCCTTCTGACGTTCCTGGGACTTGGTAGCTAGAACCCTGAGTGGGATCCTTCTGGCAGGCAGGCCCTCCTGTTACATGGCTTACCTGGTGGGCAGTTGGGCCAGCTGTTCCAGTTCTTGCTCCATATGCTCCTGCAACTCGCTGGGCCTCAGCAGGACCTGGCAGATGGGGCAAATAGGGGCCTGGCTGTCAAACAATGCTGCTGCCTTTTTCTTACCTGGTGAGGGAAGAAGAACAGACAGAAATATGAGCGGGGCTGGTCTGTGGAGGGAAACCCAGGGTCCTAATCCTCGAACCCAAACCTGCCGATGCCTCCTAGGGCTTCTTGGCTTAGAGAAAGGTGAGCCCGAGGGCCTCAGAGCTCATGAGCATCACCTCTCTTTGCAGCTCCAGAGGCTGTGGCTGTGAACGGCACCTCCTCAGCCAGCTGCCTCTCTCAGAAACATATCGGGACACAAATGATGCTCTAGGCCAGCGATTTTCAGCCGGTGTGTGCAAGAGTTTTTAAAACATGCAATACCTGATTATTTAGTCAGGGGGCACTGACTTATCTTCTCTTAGATTGTCAAATAAAAAAATGACAACA